CGGCCAAATTGTCCATAAACACTGAAATCAATCAATGTTCTCAAAGAGGATTTCGATTTCAATCCGAAATAATGAAAGCTATTCGACCTAAGGATTCTCGTGAGATTAATGTGCGTGACAAAAACTAACTCAGTCATGTCACATTAGTTCAGATCTAACCCAATGGCAACAAATGGATAGGAATGTGGTCGAAGTTCGTCTCCACACGGGTAAGTAGAACCACACTCATTGTGGGCATCCCATTTCAACTTCTGTGAGTGCAGTTTCATTTAAAGTCTCTTTCTCTGCGCCTATCATTGACAATCTTGAGCCGGCCAAATTGTCCATAAACACTGAAATCAATCAATGTTCTCAAAGAGGATTTCGATTTCAATCCGAAATAATGAAAGCTATTCGACCTCAGGATTCTTGTGAGATTAATGTGCGGGACAAAAACTAACTCAGTCATGTCACATTACGTCACATTACCGCAACCAATGGATAGTAATGTGGTCGAAGTTCGTCTCCACACGCGTAAGTAGAACCCCACTCATAGTGGGCATCCCATTTCAACTTCTGTGAATCTTATGAGCACGATCAAGAACCTGGGAGTGTAGGGACTGATTTATTATCTTGTTCAATGAATTTGACCGATAGTCCAGTGTTAGAGCGCTGCCAAGCTACCAGGTGAGCATGTTTTACTCACAGTGTAATCGCTGATTTCTGATAGGAAGAAGTTTTGCTTATATAAGCGGTTTGATACCTTAATTTGATACCGCAATTCGTAAATCTTGAAGCTGCAAACAAGCCTATATCGTCGGAGAAATGAATATTGAGATTAGAGACTTTCTCTCTAGATGTTAATTTTACCAACTGAAGTTTTTGTTAATCAGTCATGCCCTTGCTGCCTGGCTAAATGTACGTAAACCAACATACAGCTGGCATGAAATGCTAACTTTTTTGCATTTCGTGGCGCTTGGTAAAACGGAAAAAGGGGTAACGCTTTCTCATAAAATACAAGAGACTTTAAGAAAACAACAATAAGCAAAACAATAGCGGAAAACGTGCGTTTTAAAACTTTCTACATTTCTTAGCCGGCTTTTAAAGAACAACAACGTGAAATCACTAAGTTGTTCGAAGTTTGAACTCAACTCTACATTTACTTATTTTGCCGAAGTGAAGATGTCGTACATTCAGAAACGGTTAACGCATCGAGTTATTGGCGAAAATTTTAAAGAAAAGTAATTTACAATTTTTCCAGAAAAGGCCATCAAAAAAAGTTTATAAACCTGTGTTACCCATTAGTTTGTTATTCGACAATATCCAATCATGGAACACAGACTGAACGCTGTGAAGAATGAATGAAGAAAAACTCAACACCGGTGGACCTTGATTCAAAATGCATAGGCAACCTTTTGGATCACTAATAATTGTGACAACTGATCTTTTGTTAAACAAATTTAACTTTGCGTTATTTCAGGTATATCTGAAGTTTTGAAAACTAAGGACATGTTCTCGTTATAATCCATTCCACAACAAAGGTTTGCTTAGCCAAACAGCACTTAAATTTATTCACATATTGAATCTTGATCCTCGACCCACCTTCCAACACACCTCTTGTGTAAGCCGAACCGGTTAGAACCGATCTTGTGCACAGCTGTCAATCTGATTGGATCTGCATGAGCCAGTAGGTACTTGTAAATTCTTCAACGACTAAAAATTGAAATCGCCCGACGAGCTCGTACAATTTTTTGTCTTGAAAAAATTTACTCGTGCTTATTAACTATACTAGTCTACAAGTGTGACACAACATTGTACGCCGCATTAAAATGGCAAGAATAGCTTCATTACTTTTAATGAAACTTTCTTATTAATAAAATCAACGTCGATCGAAGACAAAATAAAGGTATGCACCAAACTTTTTAGTTTCAAGTGCACAGAAAAGGTGAAAGTGTAGTGCCTAGTGCCTGAGTATTGCAGCGACCGGCGCGTTACCCTTAGAGATTTAACATAACCAAATGTGCCAACTAAGTATTTCCAAAGTCATGAGTCGATCGCGTGAAGAAAAGACTGATGCTTAACTATAACACATGAAAGCGGGCTCTGTCATGAAAATGAAATGAAAAATTTGTTCTTGGAGAGAAAATTTGTGGTCGTATTTTGTTCAAATCAACTTGGTTCTCTTGGCCGAGATTGTTGTTATCTTGAACGCATAGATTTTGTTACACTAGTTCAGTGAAATAAGTTCGATTGTAAAGAGCACCCAGCAGAAGTATATTATAGATAGCTAAGAGTGAATTATGAAAGTTCTGAGAGACGTAAGCCTGTTTTCCTATATTAACCATAGCACCAATCACAAATTTTAACAAATATTACGATATTTTTGGGAGGTCAAAATCTAAAATTCTGATTATAGCATCAACCCTTCCTGTAATTACAGCCGGAAACTTTAATGCCAGTAGGCTGCACTGCTCATCATTTCTTTTCATGAGCTCCTCAGAAATGTTTAGCGAGGGATTTGTCCCACCTCAACGTTTACGCTTTCGTCAAATTTTCATTTCCGATGGAACAAATCTAAATCTACTTTGCTTCGTTACTTTGTCATAATTGCGTTGACGATTTCATCCGTCTCCAGAACAATTTATTCACCGTAAAATAATCAGACAAAGTGAGTGAACTCTCAGTCCTGAGATCTAGCCAAGCTGACCCTCAAAAGTTAAAATTCGCGATTCAAAAAGTGACCAGAAGGTACAGTACTGAATATTTATATATAAGATCGATGCACCTACCTAAAATGTGTTCACCAGACCTTCCAAAGAAAATTGATCCTCTGTAGATAGAAGAACGAGTCCCAAACGAGAGGTGAAAGCAAGGAACGCTGGTCCAATCTAGCCTAAAGAAACTAAATTCCCTTGTTAGCACTTGCTTTAATGGACGTCGATGCTGTTTCCAAACGGAGTAACATCTAAGGACTAACTTTGTGTCAAGTGAAACTATTCACACGTCTCTATCCACGATGTTGCTGAACAGGCCCAGGTCGATTTCAATATCACGAGCGAGAATTTACCTTGATAAAAAGAATCTCAAGCCCTGAATAAGCTTGATTTGATGACGGACGCTTAGTTTTTTCCATAATGTCGACCATGATGTCGAGAAGAGTTTTAGAAAACGGAGTCATTGACATCAACGTCACAAGACGCTTCTTGAAGACGCTTCTAAACTGAATATCGAATGATCCAGCGCTTCAGCGTCCGATCATAGAAACACCACTGAGCCTGCGCAGATTGCGTGACTTGCAAACACAAGACAAAGTCATCATTACATAAATGATTTCCTTGTTACAGCGGAAACGTAAATGCTGCCTTTAAGGAGATTTTGCCACTGAGGTCACAAACGTGGTCACAAAATCAAGTGGAGGTTTTAAAGAGTAGCAACTAGGAGTCTAGGGTTAAGCGTACTGCAGTGATATTAGTTTAGTGCCAAACTGTTATGAAACGTATCATCCTCATGTTAACATCGTTAACATCGTTATTACTGGGATACCTGTGGTAGCCCAGTCATAAAATGCCTTTGTTTTTTTGTCGTCTTTTTTTTTACTGGGATACCTGTGGTAGCCCAGTCATAAAATGCCTTTGTTTTTTTGTCGTCTTTTTTTTTTTTTTCCTCCGCCACAAAATGGAAAAATTGCGCAATAGTACCCAGAGGTCATTGGGCCCTCAACACCATGACAACTAACTGTGATCCAATGTGATCCAATGAGAGTGAAGATGTTCACATGCTGATCACGTGTTATCTTGATGATGATTGACGTTGTCATGCACGGACAGGTCCGGGTCACATGACGAGCACGAGATTTTCTTTTGTCGGTCGCTTTGTATTTCAACGTGTTTGGATTACGATGACCTTAAGCGTTATAGCGCAAACGCTCGAAATACTTGCAGACGCATACACAAGTCGTATTGTTCGCGGCCAGTCCACACTAAAAGATGTTATTGAGCAGTAATTTTGGACCGGGTTGAGTCGCGAACTGTGTATCCGTTGTAGTTTCTGGTGATTTCTGCCGTTTTAAGCTTGCTTTACCATCACTGTTATTCACATCATCTACTTTTATTACGTTGGTAAAATCTGTACAGACATCACACAAACCAACTCGCGCACAAAATAGGAAGAGTATATTGAAGGCTTAAAATTATATTACGATCGATTTTCATCAAGAAATGGGCCAGGAATTTTCCACAATAGTGCAAATAATCGTGAAGGCTGATCGAGGAAAAGCGATTGCGTGACGCTTGGTAAGCTGTAAGATGACATGTTATTATTTACCAGACGTAAAAACTCTTCAGATTCTCAGTCTGCAATCTCCAGTCTATATTTTGTATCCGGTCTGCTGTCTGCATTTTGTACTAACAGGTATCTGTGGCACCAATACAGTTTATTTTTGGTTACATTTATTCGCACAACATACATAATCTACCACAAAATACCTGTGTGTGAGGTAATTCGACATTTTCGTTCTTTTCCACGTTAATACTCTTCTTTCCTTTTGTAAGAATGTAGACCACAAGTAATCCACCCACCCTACAAAAAATAACTCTTGCATGCATAGCGTGCCTATGTTTTGAAATAGGTGTATGCCCTTAGCCAGACTTGAGCTCACTATTTCAGTATACTAATCCGACACCCGTAGTATCACTACACTTGATTCCAAGGATCCAGTACCATCCAGGTATCCCAGTTACCCTGCTCACAGGGTCTAGTTTTGTTTTTTTTTGTTTTTTTCCTCCGCCACAAAATGGAAAAATTGCGCAATAGTACCCAGAGGTCATTGGGCCCTCAACACCATGACAACTAACTGTGATCCAATGAGGTGTTCACATGCTGATCACGCGTGCTATCTTGATGATGATTGACGTTGTCATGCACGGACAGGGCCGGGTCACATGACGAACACGAGATTTTTGCCCATAAAACTATTTTGTCAGTCGTTTTGTATTTCAACGTAATTGGATTACGGCAGCACTATGGGGCAAACGCTCAAAATACTTATAGACACATACACAAGTCGTATTGTTCGCGGCCAATCCACACAAAAAGATGTTATTGAGCGGTAATTTTGGATTGGACAGAATCGCGAACGCTTGAAAGCCATGAAAGCATTGAATGCCTTGTATGTCTTGTATGCCAAGTATGCCAATGTCTTAGTTGAAAACGTAAACTCGTTGTAAAAAGCAAAATCTGAAACCTGAAACCAAACTGCATATACTCTATGCAATCTATTGAACAACACTACTACCGTGAGACTGAAGAACAAAATTCAAAATAGATGCAAACTGCTAGTGAAGAAAGACGCCATGTTGGATTCATTTGATGCCAGGGAACGTAGCTACGATAACAGTGCGAATGGTATTAATTTCACGATCAGAAAGGTGAATCTTATGTTTGTTTTCATTGTAGTTGTATGGATATTCTTTTTTAATAAATACGTGATCCAAAATCCCGTGTCTTTTGTGTATAATGTTATTATGTCAAGTATTGTTTACGCAATTGTCTTGTCACAGGCGACCCAAGGTCACGTTTCGAGAAAGAGCCAACGATTAATTCACGAACGCGTCAGAGTAAGTTATTCTAGGAACCGTTGAAAATTTGAACACGTTATAAGGAATATTATAGGGAACGAAATATGGTCGATTTACAACGATAAATATTTCGAAATATGAAGATTTTTCTCGAAAAATCAATAAAACTTACTCATACCCTGTGTATCCGTTGTAGTTTCTGGCGATTGTTGCCGTTTTAAGCTTGCTTTACCATCACTATTATTTACGTCATCTACTTTTATTACATTGGTAAAATCTGTACAGAAATCACAACAACCAACTCGCGCGCAAAGTAAGAAGACTATGTTGAAGGCTTGAAATTATATTACGATCGATTTTCATCAAGAAATGGGCCAGGAATTTTCCACAATAGTGCAAATAATCGCGAAGGCTGATCGCGGAAAAGCGATTGCGTGACGCTCGGTAAGCTGTAAGATGACATGTTATTATATACCAGACGTAAAAACTCTTCAGATTCTCAGTCTGCATTTTTTACCCACTCTGCAGTCTATATTTTGTATCCGGTCTGCAGTCTGCTGTCTACATTTTGTACTAACAGTTATCCGTGGCACAAATACAGTTTATTTTTGGTTACATTTATTCGCACAACACACATAATCTACCACAAAATACCTGTGTGTGAGGTAATTCGACATTTTCATTCTTTCCCGCGTTAATAATCTTCTTTCCTTTTGTAAGAATGTAGACCACTTACAATGTTTCAAGTAATCCACCCACCCTAGAAAAATAACTCTTGCATGCATAGCATGCCTATGTTTTGAGACAGGTGTATGCCCTTGGCCAGACTTGAGCTCACTATTTCAGTATACTAGTCCGACACGCGTAGTATCACTACACTTGATTCCACGGATCCAGTACCATCCAGGTATCCCAGTTACCCTGCTCACAGGGTCTAGTTCCTATCTTATTTTTCCCTCCAAATCTTCCCCAAGATTTCGATGATGCTGCTAGAAACTCTCCCCTCTGTCATGAAGATTTTCCTCCTCTCATCATTCATATTTTGCGTTGCATGGTGATTTTTAAATTAAATTTTATCTTTAAATTGCTAGTGAATTACGAGGTTCTCAATGGGGTCAACCGATAGCCGTAAAACGACCAAAAATTTAGCCGTTAGGCGTAAAAATTGACAAATTTTAACCATTCGTCGTAAAAAAGTTAACCGTAAAAATATGTCCGGTGGAAACAATAGAAAGGTGTTAACCGTTAACCGTTAACCGTAAATTGGCCAAAATTTAAACCGTTAGCCTTAAAAGCCATCAGTCCATCGAGACCCTTAACTACAGGCAGCTTGCATTTGAAATAACGCAAAAAGCGTTATACCTCTCAGAGCCCGTATCGAATAATAAATAGGGAACCCATGCCCGCATTCCTTGTTCTTACGGACTGAACAAGAAAGACATATCTTTGGACGATCCCGGTAATATCATCTGTGGAAATTGAAAGGACATAAGTTTCTCTATTTCTTGCAGCTCAAGAAGTAATGATTTTTGTGCTGAGGAGATGGAACATGTTGATTCAAGGTGTAGTAATGTTAGTCGGTGGTTAAAAGATAATTGTTGTGTACCCACATTTTTTCGCAATCTATCACCTACTTTGTATCCCTTTCATGTATTAGCCTGTTAGAATGAATAATGGAAAAATCGAATAGACAGAAAAGCATCAAAGGAACTGTCAGCCAAAAGTTCTTAGATACCATTGCATAAATTATATTACCGGAGGCAGGAAGTGGGCATCGACAGTTTTTAGATAATATTGCATAAATTGCAATATATCTTGCAAATAATGTCTTCAATCTGTTATCTTTAGGGCTTCCAAGTACAAGAAAAATGCGGCAAAGCCGCCAAACCTTAAAAAATGCGAGATGCAGCATTTTATTCTTTGCGCTCGGTCGCAAGCCACTACCTATAAGATCTCATCCTGACACATCTCTTCGCGGTGTAACCACGGTATTTGATATGGATGTAAAGATCTGATAAGCTTTCATAATAATCTTTATTTAATTTCTTTAAAGTAGGAATGGACAGGCTAATCCAGTTGACGATTATCAACCGTTACAACTCCAAGAGGTATGTTACGTATTCTTTTACCGCTGAGATACAATCAGCACTCCAACATAAAATTCATCTCTATGCGTGGCCATATGGCACGCTAATGCTTCACGTACCATGCAAACAAGTTGATTTTTAAATAAGAAGCAGTTTATGCAATACTCTATAAGAACTAAGACTCTAAAGAAACTGTTGTGCTGCGTCGGTGGGGAGTATAGCAAGATAATCTGTGTTATCAACAGAGTTGATAAAGTAAATTTGCCATCGCAAAGAGTTTCTAAAGCCTGATCAGACGAATGATTAAATAAGAGCCCAGGCAGGTGTAAACGCAATTAAGAATGTTATAAATTCTATTCTGTTATAAATTCTATTCTGTTATAAATTCTATTCTGTTATAAATTCTATTCTGTTATAAATTCTATTCCCCTGCCCCCAAATAGTTGTTGCCAAGTGGAGGCTTTTAGATAGCTTCTGACCATACAAGTTCTTGCAAATAATGTCTGAAGAAGGGATGTAAGCTTTAGATCCAGATACTCTCTACGGTGGCCAATATACAACATTCTGTCGTTTTCTGCTTTGAGAACCGTTCATGTATTCAGCAGACGTCTTCAGCAGAAGGCGTACCTTTGCGTAACTGTTCGACGTGATGGACAGGATCTTTTTTCGGCTCACAATTCGAGCCTTTGCATAGTACTCTGCTGTGTGTATTGACAGTTGAAAGTACCAGATATTCAGGAAAACTTAACAAAGAAATTCATAAAATGATATTTAATTAGTAACCCTATTTTCCTTTCACGTGATTTGTTAGTTTGTTTGTTTTTTTAGTTAAACTATAGCAGAACTTTCAACCTATTTGGTGCAAACACCACACAACATCAGTTTTTCATGGATGGATTATGTCTTATTTCAGTTGGGTACTGAAGAAGCTTCGAGCCATTCTATCTGTAATGGTGGAGATGAAAATGCTCTCCCCCAATGGGAACAGGTTGAACTGGTTGACAGGATGCAGAGACCGGAACATCAGCCTTTTCTCTGGCAGGAATGTGGTATTCAAGTCAATGTGCTGAGTGTACCTATTCAGGAGACGGAACTATACAGATCGCAGGAGTCGGGTACTTGCCAAACACTTGATCAGGGTTGTGCCTGGAACCACCCCTTGCAGGAGATGGAACAGCCAGCTTTAAGACGGCCATGTGGAACTTACGGCTTGCTTGCTTGTCATCAGCCTTGTGATGATGGCTTCGTAAATGTAGTGAGTTCTTTGGGTAGGATCCAACAGCCTATTGAGCATTGCTGTGGGCGCCAAGAAATACGATTATGGCAAGGACAACTTGATAGGCTAGTATTGCATCAGCTGAATCACTATCATTAATGGCACTATAGATTAAAGGATTTTTTTGCTGTACTGAAACCACATGCGGGATTTGCGTGCCAGTTAGATACCCGAAATATCATTTCGGAGGAAAATAATATAAAATAATATTTCCACACGAAATACAATTCTACTTAACATACATCCATACTGAAATCGTTCATCAGGCAAAAAGGTTTTCATTTTTTGTTGTTGTTGTCAATTTGCTGGAAAAACGATGGGAGTCAAATGAAAAAAAAAATGTTTTAGAGCCAATCAGATTGCAAGGATAAGCAGACAGTAGGCAAAAATCTTCTGTAAATCGCGCTGAAAGCTTATTTTAATGCAAATTATTTGCTCAAAATGGCTTTGAACGTTTAACTTAGTTGAATTTGACCAAAAAGCCACCAGGAATTTGTTGGTGTCATCAAAGTTCCCAGGAAAGTCTGGTTGGTATAGCCAACGTGTTAAAACAAGGCTGCTCTACTCATATTTAAAGTATCAAAATTTTTGTCCTAAAATAATTTACTGAAAACGGGAAAATAATTTCAATGAGGAATTATTATGTTATGTTCAAAAAGGAAACGTAATCTGTTTCGTTTTCACTAAAATCTGTCGTGGTTTATTTACAGGATTGCTTCACAAAAATCCACAAGGAACAAACAAAATCCCCGAGAGACTTATTTCATAATGAAATATACGGAAGTCGAGCGGTTTCGCCAGGTTGGCCTTCCTTTTCTTTCTAATATGTCCTAACGGCATTTCTTTATTTTAATTTATTTTGAGCAGGAAGACACAACACTTTTTAAAGTGACGTGTGACATTTCTATCTAATTTCAATATTGTCAGGCCGATGATAACGGAGTGGCACCAGCTGTTTTCGGTCCCGCCATTGACTCCGATATCTTTGAATATAAGTTTGGGGTAAGGATGTATCCCAATGGAGTTGGTGACGGAAGAGGCAGATTCGTCGCCATTTTTGTCCACATGATGGAGGGTGAGCACGATGACTTCTTATCTTGGCCCTACGCTGGAAGAATCACTTTGTCGGTTTTGGATAGAAATGGACAAAGGGACAACGACATCAGCCACACTTTGCAAGCTAAACCAACATTAGCTGCTTTTCAAAGGCCTCGAGAAGCCATTTGCCCAATTGGATATGGCCTCATTTACTTCGCTAGGATAGAAGTGCTCTTCGGTCCTCAATTTGTCAAAAACGATGAACTGTTTTTGAAAATTGAGTTTTCATCAACATGAAAAAAACAGTAGTTTTAATTAGAAACTCTTCACAGTGGCCAATTAGCATTATCAACTCGGTTGATAAATCCAGCTGCACATTGTGTTGTTAGACTTTGACAGTATCAGCTCATTCTCTTTCTTATGGCTGACAGAATTCTAAATCGTTTTTATGTAACGTTAGATTTAACTCTTCTCTACAGGACTCCTCGAACCCTTAGACTGGAAAAAAATCCTCCAAGAATTCTTGGCACAAGTCAAGTTTGCTTAATGTTTCTTTGTTGCCACTAAAAGATCTTCAAATGGTCAAGTTGTGTTAAATTTTGCTTTCAAAAAAGGTTTTAAAGCGAAAAGATATAAAAAACTATGATGCAGAACCAATCAAATCAAGAAGTTTTATGCCTAAGATTTTCGTCGAGTCTTTCAAATCTATTTGCTGTATGAAAAGCTAGCCCTGAACTTTTGCCTGCGGCATGGGCAAAATGTTCTTAATGAAAAGTGATAATTCAAGTTCAAGTTTATTATTTCACACTGTTTACAGAAAAAAATAACAACATAACATGATTTACAACGATATAGAAAAAAATACAAACAGAAATTAACTACAAGAAAGAATATTTAATCGTGACCAAAGTAGCCAATGAACTTTCGAGTTGATCACAGTCATGTGTAGATATGAGTTAGGGTTGGCCACATGTTACGTATAATTTAAATTAATAGTTACATTAAAGACGATATTGTTATCGTAAGAAAAGAAAGACATACATAAATGCATGTTAGAATAGAAGGAAAACTGCATATCGTGAAGCATTATCTTATATAGCTAACAGTTAAACTATGGTCAGTTTTGAGTACTCAATAAGAATCTTTTATAGCGCTTTTTGAATAGCATGTATGAAAACGTTTAAATTCAGGTGGTACAGATTCCCAGATTTTATTGCAGAGAATTTAAATGTAGACATACCATAATTAGTGCGTACTGATGGCTTAAAGAAGTTTTGATTCGAAACATACCTGGTATTATATGAGTGAATCTCTGATACAGGTGTGAGAATATTCGGTAGTACAGCTGGGGTGTTACTTTTGTCACTCTTAAGTTTATATGTAAAAAGTGATACTTGTAGTCTGTAAATATTTTTAAGTTTCAAGATTCCAAGAAGATTATAATAGGGGTTGACATGTTCTCTGCCATGAGCAAAGAACATGCTTCGTATACATCTATTCTGCTTAGTGCAGATCTTATTTAACAATGTAACAATGATTCAATAATAATAAACTGCTTAATCTTTTGTCTCACGATGTAGTCACTTGAGATGTAGATCGTGACGTTTCGACTGCTTACTACTTGTGTTCATCAGGTGGTGGGGGTCGACTGCTTACGCGTTACCATTTGTATCACGCCGATCCAATACGATTGGCGGATTTCGATCCCTTTGTTCCGGTGAGTTCTGGTTTTCCGAGAGGTCTGATTTCAAGTTGTTCGCTCTGTTTCGCCGGAAGGGAGAGAATTTTTCAAGTAACACGAGTGCAAAGTCGCAGCACGAGTGCAAAGTTGTAACACGAGCTGTAAAGACTATTCGTCCACTTCGTCTACTTAAATGCGAGGTTCACTTCTTTCAAGATCGTTGTTTTTTTTCATTCCATTCTGATTTAGGCAGACTTTTTCGAGCTCAAAATGAAGAGTTAATATTACTCTATTCGAAAAGCAATGAAGTTTAGAGAGAAAGAGTCCACATTAATCGTCAATACCTTTATTCAAAACCAGGGCTGCAGAAAGAATTCTCATAAATACCAATCTGACCACAAAGTACTCGTTCAGCCGGATTATCTATCCTGCAAGAACCATTACTCAGTTTTACAAGAGTAATACCTATATCAGTTACCCTAGAGGTATGTTTTACCAGAGAACTGCATAGAAAAGTTAGCTATTTACAAAGACGCCTCACAAACCCAGAGTACAATTTCATAATCATTCAGTTGTTTTTGGAAAACAAATTGAAAACAAATGTGCAGCGAGACCTTTTTCCAACAACATTGGACACACATTCTGTAGGAATTCATTCTTTTCTTTTTATGTTCTTGGATTTCCTTTGTATATTTCTTACAAAACGAACCAGCATTTGGCAGACCCCTCTATGAAGCGAATGCGGCCACTAAAATTAATTCCATTTATCTTTTTAAAAAAAATTACTGAAGGCTCACGCTTCTAAGCGAATATATATGCATGCATGCAGAGCAAAATGAATATTTTAAAGACGAAGAGTTTTAATTCGAAATCACACGCACTAAGCGATTATCAGAATGTAACGCGAGCAGAATCTAGCATCAAATTTTCAAATTAAAAAATTCCTTAATGGCCGGAATTGCGCTTTCTATTGCTGGTCGCTCAAGGATAAGTTGAGAAAACTGTTCAATTCAAGTCACCGCTTCTGTTTCGTTGTCGATTCTCCGTTTTGGTGAAGAAAAAGGCAGAGAGAGAGGTATTTGCTGTTTCATTTATGGTCTCATTGTCATCTGTGCCTATTCTGAGGAATTTTGTGCAAGATTGCTTATAAACGCTAAAATCAATCAATGTTCTGATTAACATTTGTCCTTATATTAATATTCGTTGTTAGTGTCCTTGTGAGATATGTAGTAGGGATTATTTGAAAAGAAACCATGGTTTTGATCTCAGCCCACCATCGCGAGACAGTGGCTAGTGAATATGAAATTCTTAGTCTGCCAGCGTACCCTCGTGATTAGCATGACATGGCGACAGCGAGACATTACTTCATCTACGAAGGGTTTTCCCCGATTTGGATTTATTTTAAGTTGATTGATCAGCTTAGTCTCGCTCACACTTAAGGCCGTTTTCTATGAATGGGCACTGATCTGCATTCTGTTTACTCAAATTTGATAGCTCCGCTTAGTAGACAAGGTCGGCCGGTGCAAAAGGTAATTTTGAAAAACCATTTAAACGCGAGCCGATGCCTCATTGCAGCTGAGAGTGAATCGTTTTGTTTTGTCGGGAAAGTTGTGAAGGAAAGGATGAATTATGATTTTCTAAAGAGTAGCGAGGTCATACTCAGTGCTCTGTAATTTGTTCTCAGGATTCTCGTGAAGTTAATATCCGTGACAAAAAAATAATTTAATCATAACATATTATGTCTGATCACTGACGCAACATTACAGGTAAAGATAGCTGAAATTGTCACTTATAGCATATTTAGTAAATCGAACCCATCTGCTTTACGGTCATGCTTTGTCTGAGAATAGTATGAATAATAAAATGTGAAAGTGAAATGTTACCGGGGTTATTCCTAATTCCTAAGGCACATTGAATACTTTCGTTTTGCATCATGGATCAAGGATGTCTAATCAACTGCTTGAGTGTAAACGAAATTCATAAAATCATGAAAGAAGGCTTAATCCTATGAAATAAACCCACTTCTCCAGCTAACTTAACGCAAACTGAGAGTAAAAAATCCTTTGAAAAAAACATAACATCCCAAGATAACAACATTATTTAAGTGTCAATGCGTTAGACTATTTTACTTTATGCTCATCGGGGACACTACAAAAATACAGTAAAACCTAAAATTTTAAGTCTAATACTTAAATCTAAAATCTAAAATCCAGGAATAATTAAGTTATAATACAACTACTTACAATTAAAATAAACAAACTGTTTGGAACATGACCTTTTCTAATGTTTTACATGGATTAAAGCACTTGCTGTGATAAATTATTTGCGATCCTGAAATAGCATGCATTCGTCGCATGGCACAACTTTTAGTTACTATGGAAATTTGAAATCCGAAGAAAAACCTTCTGCGCTATTGGTTGAAATACGGTGACAATAAAACGTGAATAAATTAGTTGAATAAAAAGGAGTGCCGATTTAGAAGCAGAGGAGTTACTTATCAAAAGCCAGTCGTGCACGTGTAGACTCCTGTGGCAATTTTTAACGGCAGAATTTTTGAAAGGGGGTTCCATCATGAGGTAAGTGTGATCAAGAGCGAGATTCTTTATTCTCAGCTCTAATTTTTTTTATTACAAGGAATTTGATCCTAATTTCGACCATGCTGTTAAAAACTCTCGCCTCCATCACGAAGGGGTTCAGTCGCCTCATCATTTACAATTAACGTTTAACTACAAATTCATGGAAAATTGGACTTTGTTTTCAAATTGATAGTAAATCCCAGCTTGCATTTGGAATATACTATGCTTTTTATTCGACTTCGCCTGGTCGACAGAGGTATGTTGCTATCGAAGCACAAATTTACATACCGCGTGATTATTGTTGCAGCAAAATCTCATTAAAATAATTTTTTATAGCAAAGGCGAACGCTCTGGGCTTTTATATTGGAGGTAGGGCATAAATTTCCATATCAATTTTTCCTGCCTCTGTGACGCATTTAGACTTAAGCGCAAAACTCAACACAACTTTTCCATTTAAAGATCTTTTAAGTGGCAACCAAGGAAAATTTATCTTTAGCTTAGCCCGACTTTTTCCACAGGCGAAAATTTCTAAGAGTTGATTCTCAGATTCTTCAAGCTAAAAATAAATACATAAATGTTCATGCGAACTGCGCGATTCTTTTTCGCTTCTAGACTTTAAGCGCAAAACTTGGCACAACTTGTCCATTTTAAGATCTTAGAGTGGCAACAAAGAAACATTTATGCTGTATTTATCTTTGGCTTAACCTGAATTTTTCCAAAAGCGAAAGCTTCTGAGAGTTAATTCTCAGATTCTTCAAGCTAAAAATAAAACATGAAAGATCATGTGAGACTGTGGAGTCTGGAAATGCGAGTGGATCACAGTAACGTTGAAAGGATAAAGCAAACAGATCTAGAAGTTTACATCACTTCCATACACTCCTTCGGTAAAAGCCAAAATTAAACAAACTAAATTAAAATACTTGAATGAAACGAATACCTTCATTAATTTTAACAGAAATTTTCCTCATAAAATCAACGTTGATGACAAACTTCTGCCCCAACCTTTTTAGCAAACCATAATTGGTTTTCCTCTCTGCAAGTGCACAGACATGAGGTAGAAAGTGTGGTACCCAATGCCCGAGTATTACAGCCACCGTTTTATGCTGGAGATTTCTAACATAACCAAATATGCCTACAGAAGAAACTTGATATGAGGAAATAAAGGCCATAGTTTATAAATGTTTTGCCGGGTGAAGTAGTTCCGAAGTCATCAGACGATCTCGTTGAAAAACTTGTTCCGATCCTTAACTATAACATACGAAAGCAGGCTCTGTCATGTCACTGAATTATCATTTTTTGTCATTGGGGAAATTTCGAAGATGGAAACATTGTTTAATTCGCCGTTGACCTTAAAATATGAATCATTGCTCTATTTCAGTTTCCAGAAGCTTGTATCTACTATTTGGTTCATTGTTGTCTCGTCAGTGAAGCAAGATATTCTCTTTCCAAATTGTATGATCATAAAAATCAATTAATAATTACATGCTTGTTGATGTTGATTTGTTCGCGAGTCTAAATTATTTGTGAAGTCTAAATTATTTTCCTATTCGAAAATCTAAAATATACTAGAAGTTTCGATTTTAAAGCATGACCTAAAGGAATCGATCAAGGTATTGCTACCATGGTTTAAAAATAATTCACTTCACGCGGAGATGTTTCACAGCTATGTGCAGGTAATAAACATCGAATAATAGCATCTAACGAAGTATACGCGCTATTAACTATTTTGAATGATGATAGATAGGTCGGTAAAGTTTCTAAATAAGTAAATAAGAACTGATAGCTACAGCTATGAGACATTTGTGCTGGTTGCTGAGG